ACATTGAAGCAGGGAGCAGCTGATTTACTTTTTTTTTTTTTTGATCTGGAAGATTTTAAACAGCCATGCCTTCCTGCGAAGACAGTAAGCTGCTGCACAGTCCAGCCACCCTGCAGAGGCAGCAGACATCCCAGAGAACTACAAAGAAATAAGTAAGTAAACAAATCCTGTGAACCCTCCTTAAAAACAAAACAAACCCGCAACAAGATCTCTGCCAAGAGGCTGTGGGTGTACACGCCATGGATGGAGATCAGGCTGGCAATATTTAGAAGAAGATGTATTAAAAAAAACCAAACAAAAAAACCCTAGAAGAAATCACTTCCCTGTGGCAAGTCGGACCAACAACATAATGAAACATGTAAGACATGGCCATCAGTGCTAATTAAAATGGGATTCTCAGTAGTGGTGACTTTGGGCCAGAGCCTTGCACTTTTCACTGTAGTGCTTAGGCAGCACCAAGCAAAGGTAGGGGTTGCTCAGCCTCCGGCGGTTCCTGCTCTTCCCTCACCTCTAACGGCAGAGGATTTGGCCTCTGCTTCAGTTCAGTTTTCAAAGCAGTTCTTCAAATTCACAATAAAAATACACCTACTTCATTTGGATCAGGTGCAGCGACATGAACACTCGAGGAAGCCTCTTACTACATTAGCAATAGGTTAATACCGTCCTTTTTCCGTCATTAAAGCATTGCTCTGCCCCACTGTAGACCTGCTGGGAGATAAACCCAGCAGCGGCTCGCTCTCCTCAGCACCACTGCCCCGAACACTGGCCACAGCGTTTCATGTGCTGCTGAGCAGGGGCTGAGGGATCCCCACTGTGGTTTCCACTGCATTTAACATTGCCTAATTAGTCTTATCGCTGCAATCCACGTACATAAAACCAGCCCTGGTTTGTTAAGGAAAGGTTAGTAGTCACAATCACCCAAAGGCAGTGGTTTTAGCTTCTCCCCTGAGCCTCGCCACGCTTCTTCTACCTTCAGCCTTCAAAACCACCTCTTTGGTGTTTTTGGAGGATGCCAAAGAAGTATTTAAAAACAGACCACACAGGGATGCTTCCCCCAAACACCCTCCCCACCTCCAGAGATTTATGGCTCAGAAAAACTTCTCAGTCATAGATGGGATCTTTGTATTTAATAGTTTTTCATGTATTTTTCTCTCATGTAAGTTTGTACAGTTGCTTTTTGTACCTATGTAAACACAACTTAATACAATGAGGAGTTTCACAGATCTTGCAGAGAAAACCACATTTCCTTGTTGCTCGGAGCCTGCGATCCGTTCGCTGCACCCGCTGCCTCCAAACCCACTGCGAGCTCCGTCCCCTCATCTGCTTTCACCTAAATGCACATTCCGGTACAAGGGACGCAGTAGCATGGGGATGGGACGAAGCATGCCAAGGGCCAAGAGAACTATCCTGCCCATTGCTGCCTTTCAGCTCATAAAAGCAATCCCCAAACAAGAGGAAAACCCACGCTATGCACTGCATCAAATCATCACAGGGCAATAGGCAGTTCTGCTCCAAAGAGGTTACCGCCTAACAAGATCAAACAGCTGAGGATTGAAAGGACTGCTGAAGGAGTCAAAATGGCTTGTAGAGGTCATGCTGGTGGGAGTTAAGGCCATGCCCGAGGTCTTGCCCATGACCACCACTCCCTAGGTCATACGATCATTAATTCTGGTGTGAATAGGCAGGTTCAGAAATTCAGGACATTTATGTAATAGAGACTGAGCCGCAGCCACTGACATCTGAACTGTGTTGTGTGCATGAAGCTGGATTTGCAGAAGACCTTGCTGACTCTAGAAGATGAGAGCTGCAACGGAATCAGCGGCACCACCAGCACAGCTTGGCTGCTCTTTCCTTGTTTACCTGCGCTGGTACACTTCAGTGGAAACTTCAAGAAAGAAGGAAAAGAAAAGCTAAAGAATCAAGCTGAGCCTATATTTTCATTTATTGACCGAATTTTTTCAATTTTTTCCAACTAAAAAGAATGTTCAGATTGCAGGAACTTTTAACTGTTAAAAAGGATAATAAAAAAATCACTTGGAAATGAACAGCTAGGCTCATGAGAAATCTTACATCAAGCAGTCCAGAGGGTAACTACTTTTCTTGGATGTGGGAAACCCCAAATTAGTTTTTCTGTGATCCCTTTACAAAAGAGACTAGCCATCACCATGAAGACAAGGCAACAGAGTCACTCTCATGTGCTGTCTAAATCAATTCACATTTAATTTATACTAAAAGCAAAAAAGTATATGAAAAGTTTCAGCTGAAATCCTTAAAACCACCTTGGAATGCCTTACAGGTTAATAGGGAAACCAACATCCCATGAGGAGGGAGACACAACTGCTGGTCTTCATTGTAAATAAGACAAAGATGGATCTGAACTCCTCTTCCCCTATATTCTCTAACGACGTGATAGATGGGGACTCCTGCTGCCTTCCTCTCCCACTTTATAATCGGCACTTCAGTCTCCCTGATAATCTAGCTCGAGAGGAAGAAAACAAGGAGTGAAGCCACAAAAGCACTCCATTTTAGAAATGTTCCCAGCCCTTTTCCCCCACACCCCATTTTTATTTTGGTAAAAACTACTTTGGTGAGTTAACCCAAATTCATGCATAGTTGATTGACCATTTCAAAGTGGCTGAAATAGCAAAAAAAAAAAAATTTGAGAGATTCCATGCAAGATTGTTATCTTTTAACAAATGTTAAGGAATTTTTGGAAGATAAAAAAACCCAACTGTAAAGACATTATCACTCTTCCCTCAAAGTTTTGATCTGGAATTTCACAACCAAGAACTATGGGGTGAGGCACACACATTAAGAGTTGATCCTCCTGTCAAAGGTTTGAAAATTATTCTTCAAGGGTAACAGACATGTTGGAACAATTTAGCTGGCCTAGAAGTCAGCTGGACAATACTAAACTTTCATGAAAAATGAACATACTTACTATTTAAAAACAGTCTCCTCTGAAACTTTATTCATACGGCTAAAAGAAAAATTTAAACACATTTGGTTTCTAAGACTGATTCTCCAATTATATACCACTGGTGAGAGTCCTCAATGGGAGAGGTACAAGTGCTCAAGCTGGTCAGATGTCTTGGGTAAGCACCGTAGTTCTGAAAAAGTATTTTTCAAATACTTTTCACATTTAATATAAATACGGATTTAATATGAAGCTGGAGGAACTACAAAATACAACAACTGAGACATCGCTCAGGGCTCAGTTCCTGAGGGATGCATGTTTGGAGAGACCAGGAGAAGAGAGGGCAGCCCTTCCGCTTGTCAAGGACCTACAGACATTAGCAAACCCTTCGTGTTTAAGAACCCATGATACCTCTCGACCCAAGTGACTGAACAGAACCAAGCAATGACAAGCAAATGACACAAGGTATTTTCTTAAGCAAGAAAGAGGAAGACAGCACATCCACCTCACTTGCTAGCAATACACTGACACTGTGAGCTCCTCATCAAAATGACAGTCTTTTAACCCGTCCAGTCACGAACAGATGCTGGTGTTTAGGGATCGGAGCCATTTCAGTGCCGGTTGTCACAACCTCAAATCATAGGAGACAGGTTGGCAGGGACCTCCAGAGGCCTCTGGTCCAGCCTTCTGCTCCAAGCAGGGCTAACCACAGAGTCAGGTCGTGTTGCTCAGGGCCTTACCCGGTCAACTTAAGAAAATCTTCAAGGACAGAGATCCCACCACCTCCCTGGGCCCTGCCTCAGAGCACAAACTCTCCTAGTGAAGAATCTTCCCCATGTCCAGCTGGACTCTCCCTTGGTGCAGCCTGCGCCAGCTGGCTCTCACCCCTTTGGTGGGCACTCCTGACGAGAGTTTGGCTCCAGCTCCTCTTCCAGTCCATCGTGGAGGATGGCGGTTAGATCCCTTATCAGCCTTCTTACCTCCAGACTAAAAAACACTCAGTTCTGTCAGCCCCTCTTATGTCCTGTGTCTTTCCAGATTTTCCTCCATTTTTCCTGCCTAAAAGACTCCCTGCATCATTCCATGCAGCACTCCAGTCATGGAAGCTATCTCATCATGTCTCCATAAATACTACTACTTTGTAGCTCTGTGACTGTACGCTAATTTTCAGTGTCCCTTAATTGCTTCATAAGCTACATGTGTTACTCCACAAGCACTGGATGAGCACACATTCACAAGAGGAGCCTCCCTCATCCCCTGTCCCAGAGAGCCAGGACCCTGAACAGGGACAGCACAGGAGTTCAGGCAAACCACAACCATGGAGACTAACGTGGCAAAGAGATACAGAAGAGGACTACACTAAGGAGGGATTTGAAAGGTTTGCCAGCGACCAAGTAATGAGAGATTACTTCTTCGAACAAATACAAGATCCTCAGGTGGGGCTGAGTATGACTGAGGAGATAAAAAGCTCCTCTCCTCATTTCCACTCAGGACACAATTTCTGATTTCAACTCTCTACGCAGGACTTGGATTAGGCTTCAGCTCAGCAAATCTCTCAGGCAGCAAGTGAGCTTCTCCTGCGTCCCCTGCTTTTAGGAGTGGCCGAAAATGCATGGGGAAATGATAGTATGAGCTATCTTCCTCCCTCAGCACAGGTTAGAAAAAAGATGACACATCAAAAAGCACAGGGCTCTGTTTTTTCCCAGTACACCTTTGGTGGGCATTAGCATCACTGCCTGGTCCCTTGCCCCTTTCAACTCACACAGCCTACCAGCTCCCTACTGTCTCAGAGCTCACAATTTACCATCTGTACTTAATCTTCTCTTTATACTAACAACACACTGTAACTGCAACATCTTTCTATGCAACAATCGATAAGGCAGATAAGAACAAACAAGGAAATAGTGAGCAGGACGTGGCCAAAAGTAATGGTACATACTGTACTGCTTCCTGTCATCTAACCGCTGAAACTACAAAAAACCCCAACACTTCTTTTGTCTGGAGCTTCACAGCCTTGTGAAAATAAACATAAGGAAAAAATGAAAATGCAATTCAAAAATACAGAAAAGAATGTAAAACTTACCAGGCTCTAACTTGATTATTTTTACAGCAGCCAGTTCTCCTGTATGAAGATTTCTAGCCTGAAATGAGAGAGTTAAGACATATTTAATTACACTGCAAAGGCATCTCACACAGTCTTGCAAACTGTGAAAAGATACGCTATGATGTCATGTGTTACAAATATGGCACAATGCAATTAGCTGAGTGCAACCTGGGTGAGGATTATCTGGTTTTGGTATTAGCGCAGCATCAACCTAGTTGGAGTTGTAAATTGTTACTGGCAGATCCTTTCGAGACTTTAAAAAACCCCAGCTATCTGCCAGCAAATGAGAGTTCATGCCTCTCAAATACCATTTTTAAGGGTTGTTGAAGCTGAGAAGTTTCTGCCATCCGTGCTCTCTGGGGTGGTACAAAAGCTGTGCTGCTACACGACTGTCAGATCATGGAGCACGCAGTGCTCAACCACCCATCTCATGGTGCTAACGGATGGGTCACAGCTCCCTGCGAACAACTTAACCCTGAAAACAAACTCCTTCCAGCAGACCCTGACAGAGGTGAGTGGTCCCCACGACCCTTGAGAAGAAGAAGGGGTAGGGAGCTCCAAATAAGCCTTTACAGAACTGTCCTCTCCGGGTATGCTGTAAACTTCACACTGAGAATTCAGTGCTGGAGGAAAATGTTACAGGAACCTCAGATATAGAAAGCCTTAAGAGGGGAGTTCATTAACACTTTTAATTCTAGTAAAATGAGCTCTAAATCACTCTGGCACCATCACCAGAGCTAAACTGTATTATTTTTGACACACAGCCTGATCCAATTAGGCACTGTGGCATTCCCCTTTTTCTGATCATCCAAAAGTTACAGGAGTCTAAACCCAACTGTTTCATTCTTACCCTAACAAACACGCAGAGTCTTCTGAACATAGGAAATCTGGCTAAGAGGTAGATTATAGAAAATTGAGGGAAAACTGGATTAGGTGAAATCGATTTGGGCAGTTACTTAAGATGAGGACGCAAAGCAAATTTGCCCCTGTGGACTGAACTGAAGGAAGCCACTACGAAACAAAACACTCTTCTCTTGCATATGGACAAGAAGTAGTCTTAATTTAACAACAGGTAAAGCAAGAACTTGAAAGATGAGTGCCTCAGTTTCCTCAACACTTGGTCAACCTTCCAAATTGGGAAAGGCTTTCCAGCCAGGGAAAAAAAACCCAACCAACAATAATTGCCCTTTCAAAGTCCTGTAGTGCTCAGCCAAGAGATGGGAGTCAAAATGCATTCCAAGGACATAAATACGACTCAACTGAAGTCAAAAAGGACCTGAACAACGGTACAACAGAACCAAACATCTGAAGCCAACAGACTAAATCACCGAAGACAGAGAGAGATAGTTATCTGTTAACCACAAAGGAAACGTTTACCACTTCTTACCTTCCTACCAGAGGTGTTTTTAGACCACAGCAAAATCACTGGTATCCTTCAACATCCAGAAGGAGCATGCATCCAGGCATGAACAAAGGATTAGGACCTCTCTGGTACTGTTACACCTAACAATACCATCATGAAACACAGATGTTCCCATAAGAGACCAAGCACTCTATCTTGGTGAAGCCAGGGCACCTCCACTATCCATGCTTCTATCTACAAGCAGCTAAGCTGTTCAGATAAAGGAGACGGCACAGTTTCCAGAAGATCACCTTCATTTCTGAAGTACAAAAGAGATCATACTCCTTACAGATATTCCTTTTCCATATAAGCAGTAACTGCCACTGCTACTGTTATGCTGAAGCCTGAAGGAATGGATGTAGTCTGCCAAAGGTCTTTGGTACACAGACTGCTTGGCAGGGACTCGAAGGTTCAGGCTGGAGGAGATCGCTGCAATTACTGGCTCTCACCTCTCACACACGACAGGCCATACAGCCTACCAAACTGTGTCCTGCTGCTATCCAATATTACCATTAAGCTTTTGCACATAATCTATAGCCTGGACATGGACTATTTTGGGTTCAACCATCGAACTTTGTCTGCTGGAATGGAAAGCTCTCCACCGGGTTGGTATTTATGAACTAAACACATCAAGTCATCTGAGCCACTCGCCTTAAGACCGGTTTTCCGGTCCTACAGTTTAATCTTCGAAGCGAACACATTCTCGAGTTGATGACACCAGGATCAGACATGCTCCTTAACTCCTATCGTGCCAGCACCAAAGGCAAAAATGCTGAGTATTCCCTGATCCTCAATACCTTTGTTTGGAGGCTCACGGCTAGAGGAACTGTATTAGATGTTCAGTCTAGACAGTCGTATTGCAAGCATGCAGCAAATTACCCAAACTGCTTCCCAAGAGATTGTCACCTGCCCGCAAATGCGACTGACGGCTTTTGTTCCCTCATCTTGGATTGCACCAGCTTTACATGGGTGCACACATCTCTCTCTGCTGTCACTCTTGTTTTTTAAACTCTTCTCTTCCACACCTTTCTGTCAGCTAAAAACTTGATCAATAATGAATTACTGTCAACTTGCACATCATTAAAAATTTAAGGCAGCGAGGGCTCAAAACTGGTTCTCTGTGGTATATAGCTAGATAGGAAAACTGTCAAATAAGGATTCCTCAAATCATTCTGAGACATATTACTTAAAGAAATTCTCAACTCATTTCCTATGGGTGACTACAGTTTGCATTGTTCTACTTTTTTAAAAACAATTGTGTAGTATCAAGGAAGTCACAGACAGGAATGCACTACATCAACATTGCTGGCTTTGTGAATCAAACATGAAATTTTACTACAAATGATATTTGACAAAAATATAAGTTCTCCATAATTTCCCTGATGTGAAGAATCAGTTAATGATCTATCAATTTGTCTTATTGATATACTTCTTCACTGGAGCAGGGGGAATTGAAGTGACGCTAAGAATTTATAGTTCTCCTAATCATCTTACTTACATTTTTAAAACCTAATAGCAAAATATCTGCCTCCTTCCCGTCCCTTGAAATTTCCACAGTATTTCAAGTCTTAATTCAAAATTAGCTGAAACCAACCAGACGCCAGGGGAGCTGTTTTTCCCTGCACACCAAGTAATCCAGACCTGCCAATTAACAAGTATAGCTGCTGTTCAGTATCTATGAGCTATTATTGACACAGCAAGTTATCATTTATATGCATTTATCACATAAAGATGACATCTATATCATGAACTTTGATGGTCTTTCTGAATTCTAGTATTTCTAATATTTCAGTCTAATGAAAGACAAAACCTGTTAGATTTCTTATTGTCTTTAATTCTGCTGGCCTTGATTCCGTCAATATGTAAGGAAGCCTCCTAAGAACTCATCTGGGCACTGAAGGCTAAAAGACAAAGCTCAGCGTTTGCAGAGCTCCCTCCTGCGCTGGAGCCCACATCCCCATCAGCAACATGGTCCGCTTCCCACATGAAGAAGTGGAGCCCAACTTCCACGACAGATCAGGGGGCTTGCTGTAAGACTTTCCCCGAGAGGAAGACAGAGCTTTTGCTATCTATTAGTGCTGATCTTAATCTTATTTAATGAGACTCAAAACTGAAAATTATGTTCCACATTACTCGGAATGAAAATTAAAACTACAGGATCTTGGCAGAAGGATTGCAAAGCTCTAACAGAAAATTTTACCTACACAAGAATGGGACCAGAACAAGGGTATATTTGAATGAGGTGGGCCACACAGTCAAATTTATTTTGCTCAGTGTCATATACAGAGTATATTTACTGAGAAAGAAGAGCTAGGCAGTAGTCTTTTGGTCACCTCTTCTTCAGCTGTCCTATAGCCTGCTATAGGATGAGTGACAGCATCCCACTGAGCACAGCTCTTCCAGAATATTTTAACAGCTAAATACTAATACTACAGAACATCACACAGAGTCTGTGTTCAAAATAAAACAAAACACAAGTAATCCTCTTTTTCTGAGTATCCCGTTGCATAGTTGTAGCGACCTAGGAGACTACATGTCACTAGTTTAATGTGTCAGCACAACAATCGTTACACTTTTTTTCCCCAGCATTATGTCAGCATAAGCCAACACAACCCAGATTCCCTCAAGCATACACACAGCTGTACCAGAGCAGATTAAAAGTTCCTTTAAACCCATGGTCCTGCCTCAAACAGCGGATGCTTCAGAAAGCGGTTAAGAGCAGACCAAGCAAATGGTGACACTTTCCTGATGCAGTCTCCCAGCAACTGAATCGGGATCTGCACGGTGCCTTCTGCAACACGGACTAACTGCAAGCAGAGCCCGCGTTAGGCTGTCAATCCAGGAGCAACACACGTTCTTCCAATCTAGGCACAACGTCAATGGCATGTCCCAACGCCACACTCAAAAATGAGAGGTGCACTATTAGTAGGACTGGGGTTTTGAGGAATTAGGAGAGTTTTAGGATATTACACACAAAAAACCATCGGGTTTTCCCATCGAGACTTAACTTTCTTCTCAGAACTGCATCAAAAAGCTGTCGTGGGACAGTGGAACCCAACGTGACACCCGTGGCAAGCCCTGTGTACGGTGTTTCCCACCACACACCCAAGCAATGCATACGAGAAAAAACATTTTGGGTAGGACACTTTCTGTAGCTAATGACCAGAAGTAACACAGAAAACTGGTTTTAGAACCAGTTACACACTCTGCAATTTTGTTTTATTTATTTTTAAGAGTGCAAGCCAGACAATTCCACCCCAGGGGGTCCACAGTACTAAGCGGTGTGAGATGGACAAAAATTGGAGAATCATTTCACTTGGACATCTGAATACAAGTTTATGTGCTCAGACTCCTTGTCCAGCCACTTTCTCCTTCAACACCGAGGAACAGAAGGGGAAGATTAAGACAGCCATATCACTCTCACAGCCTCCAAATTAGTATATTCAATTTCCATGGTGAAATCCCCTCCTCACCCCAATGTAGTTGTCTGATCTCCAGCCTTGGATCAACAGCCCAATTCACCGGAAGAGCCGTTTGTTCGACCGTGTCTTCATTTAATCTAATCATAATTGCAGCTCCTGTGGCAACCCTCCCATGCATCCCCATCTTATTCATTCCTTGCCAAGCTT